CTGGGTCCATGTTCAGCTTGGTCTGCAGTAACATCCAGGTCATTTTTAGTGAAGCTGCAATTCAGATGTTCATGGGCTGCACAAGCATGTGCAGCTCTTCCACTTGAGATGCAGACTTCTTACTGAACTTTATGAGGTTTCTGCTGGCCAAGTCCTCAAGTATATCAAGAGCCCTTTAGAATACAGCTCTGCCATTTGTCATGTTAACCACTCCCTCTTAATTTCTTATCCTCTTGAAATTTGCTGAGGGTGCACTGTGTGTCATGATCTAGGTCATTGATGAAGATATTCACTGACGCCTTAGGTATCCTGACCTCCTCTGCTCATCATTGACCACTTGACACATGCCAAGTGATGATCATCACCCTTTGAGCCTACTGGTTAAGTCAGTTCCCAACTCAGTGCCTTCTTTTAGTCCACTCTTCCTCAGCTTTCAAAGCGTGCTGTAGGTGACTGGGTCAAAAGCCTTACCAACACCACTGCGTGCAAATGAGCATAGTCATGCTGGGAGAAGGACAACCAGCAAGGTAATACAGCGCACAGTCCAGGAGAAACCCAAAAGGCTATCCACAAGGTTTCTAAACCATTACAAACTGTGCTTCTTTTCTGATTAGCCGTACATGTTCATCCAACGCTTCCTCATGTTTGGATGAGAGGCTGTTGGAAGAGATTTAAAGGGTGCTCCCTGTGTTGCAGCTTTTCCTGCCCACAGAAGAGGTGTGAGAAATACCTTTGCAGCCACTCCCCATGACAACTACAGGAGAAAAGGAATTACCATGTGCTGCATGGCAGATCCCAGATGCACATTAGTGGGAGTTATGGCATGGGCCAGGTATGACTTTGGTGTCAGCTGTGTTTTCCCTCAGCAAAGAAGCATTCCTGCCCAAGGCAGCACCTGTGTGCACTGCTTGGTGAAGGGCAGCCACTCTCCTCTCATCCAAGCAGTTAGAAATTTCATCAGGAAAGTCAACAAGTCTGGACAAGCACATAAATTGGTTTTAGTCAATCTCCGATGACTATTCCAATTACCTTCTGGGTCCTTAAATGCCTGGCAAATGTGTTGTTGAGTACTTAGCTTCTCCTATATTATCTATCACTACAATGACTTCTCCTATTCATTGCCTTTTTCCTTCCTCAAACCTTCATTTTTTAAAGTAGCATACATCTGCAGAATAATTTTTGTTTTCCTGTATGACCCTTGAGGGTAAGTATTAGCTCAAATCAATCAGCTTTCTAATTTTGCCAGCAGTCAAACAGTCAAGTAATGCTTGTCTGTATTTTGCATTTTAGGTCATCAGAAAGCTCTTTGCTCAGGCATGAAGGCCTTCTGCTGAGTCCCCTCCTTTTTGCTCAACAGGATGGTTCTTTCCTGAGTTCTCACTAAGTTTTATTTAGAAACCATCCATCTTTCATGGGCCCTGTGTTTCTGTGGCAGCATCCCAAGAGATTTCGCTAAGCAACTCTCCAAAAAGGCTGTAGTCTGCTCTTCTGAAATCTTAACAGCCATAACTTGCTGACTATCTTTCCAGACTTCCTTTGAATTAAGAACTAAACCAACTCATAGACACTCTGATCCCAGCTGTTATTTGTCACCACCTTTGCCACAAATCCTATTTCTCCCCTCTAGCAGTATCAGGGACTGGTCAGGAACACAACCAATGAATCCCCTGCACTGCCTGCACAACCATTTAATCTTAGTAGAAACTAAAACAGGCAGCATCTTACTTGCCATTTGTACTGATAAAATTATTAAACATATAGTTTTCATCCACTTTCGATCCCATATTCTACTAACCTGAACTTGTAAAGGTGGTAATTGCTGTAAAAAATGCAGGAAGCCAAAGTTTCCATTCTAAATGAATTTAAAATAAATCCAGAAAAAGCAAGAAGTAAAATATGCTCATCACTGACAGTATTTTGTACCAACAATACACACAAAAAAATCAGTAATTGAGAGACAACATTCAGCTTAAATAAAATTTACAACTGAAGATGATTTGTTACTTTTCCATCCCTTGTGCTCAGATTAGTTTATTTTTTATACATACTGAACTGAATTTTTTTCAGGCACAGATTCAATATCAGACCAAAAAAATACACATTTTTATCAATTGACACACTTATTTTTGTTAGGCAAAACAGATGTATTTAAGTTAAAAAAACCCCCAATCTTAGAATTGGAATGAACAAACAAAAAAATATAAAACCAGCAGGAGGAAGTGGGAAAATTAAGTCAAATGTTCAATCATTTAAGCTTTACTGATAGATTCATTATCACAAGTAAGTTAAAGGAAGCTTGTCATCTGCCTCACACAAATCACTTACACAGAGAATTCCAAAATTGCAAAAGCCTTTTTTAGTGGAGAAATTACTGTTCCAAATATTTTTAGCTGGCACAAATTAAAATCTGCCAAAAGTGTTGCAAGACTGCATGGGTAATAAATTTCTTTACGTGAGCACAATGCAAATTAGCCCTGTAAACCTATTAGAGCAAGAACCAGGTACTTTGAATGGATAGCACTGCAGTAGCTGGCAAATATCTTAATTATAAAACATTACGTGAGAAAACCTAATTGTAAATGCTGCAATCAAGGTGTCTACAGGTTTTACTAAAGTTATCAATGTGATAATTGAATTCCCAAAAGATTTTCTGAATTGGTCAGCAACAAAGACTTCACAAATATCTTTTTATTTTAATGGCAGACTCATCAGCATCCTGATCCTCATCTGTTCATCCTATGGCATTGAACAGAAAGACTGCATTCACTATTCTGAGTTTATAGCTGTGAAAATGACTGTGAGAATTAACTGCTGCATTTCAGTAGTCCCACTTAAATCAATAGGCAATAATTAGATGAATGAACATTAAAAAAAAACAAAACAAAAAACAACTCAGCAGCATTTAAGGGTTAAATGATTTGGTTTTTAAGGCCAGAGCTTCTTAGTCATTGTAGTTAGAGAAGAAAACTGGTCTCTGGCTCTTGCTTGGGTGTCTCAGATGTATGTGCATGTCCAGCAAGGAAATGTAAAGGATAGCAGAGTCATTGTATTTCCTTGTCTTTATGACTATATTTGTTTTCTCTTTGTGCTTTTGCTTCCTGATGTGCCATATTGACTATTGTCACTAATAAAATGAAGCTCATAATAGCCTCCTCCTTTTCAATAGGTCAGAGTTAACACTTGTTCAGAAAGATGAGATTTCCATCCGATTTGTGCTGTGGCATTCAGAGCTGCTGCTGTCACTCGACACCCTTCTTTCTGCCAGTGCCTCACACCTGTCACAGAAGGTCATGCTCATAGAGTCAGCAGCTCCTGTCCATAGTGCCAATGCCACAAGAAGATTTTGGATCTCAGACCTTCATTAGCCAACGCATTAATTCAGAAATACAGACAGGAAGAAGAACACAGGAGTGGAGTATTTCACAGAATATAGAGAGCTTCTCTGGGCATTCATTTTTTTCCCTCACAATAATGCAAAATGGATATTTGGTGTGAATACCTCAGACAAGAAACAGACTGCCAGGATTTCATTTTTCTCTCAGGAGCTAAACCAGTGCAACTAACTTGTTTAAAAACAGTCTAAAAATAGCATGGGAATGCATCTTGCTTCCCAAAAAAAAAGGTAAAAAGGACATCCTAATTAATTTGAATACATATCCTGCATGGTTCTTTATAGGCTTTCTACTGGATATCTGCTAAACTATTGGACTAAGAGTGTCACTGCCTTTCCTTCTATGACTATTTTTAATTTTTCTTTTTTTTTTTTTTTTTTTTTTTTTTCTAGAAGTAACTAGAAAGTTAAAACCAGCTACATCATCACAAAGAAACAGGACTAACAATACATTGCCACTTTACAAACCTTCTAACTGTTTAAATGGTCTTGTCATTGCCAGGACTGCTTATGTCTCTTTTTAAAATTAATCCCTTCACTTTCTGTGACTTCATGATGCCCTTAGCTATTATTTGCTTTTAAGGCTGTAATATTTTTGCTGTTTTTTAAACTTTTTCTAACCCTTTCTCACCAACAGTGGTGCTGATATCTCATTACAAAAGAAGACCATTCAGCCCTACAAGCTTATTGACAAAGCCTTCATCATTGCAAGCCAGATATTTTAATATTGGTATTCTCCCTATACATAGGTATTTGAGAAATTATGAGATCATTATTAGATCAGGTGAAAACATTGGTACAGATTTAATGAAAGCAATGTTTAACTATCCATTAAAAATATAAATTCTTGAAGTCATTTGGAGAAAATCCATCCTAATTGAATGTCTCATAAGTTGAAGGAAATCAATTTCAGCTTTGCATTCTCAATCAAAACAAAAGAGAAACTCTTTTAACCAAGACAGGGAAGAGAGGCGTGGTTTCCACACATTTATGTCCTCATTAAACACTGTATCATGATTTAGTTGCTCTGAATCTGTCTGATCCAACAAGTTAAGCTGCTCGAGATAGTAATCACATACAACAAGAAAAATGAAATGCAAATTAGTGGGTTATGAAGCTGATGAATGCGTAAGTGGATGAGATTCTTTGACTTGTAAGACATAGCAAGTCACGTTAGAGGATCAGAACAGCCTCCTCCTAGCACCAAAAAAAAAAAAAAATCTCATTTTCTGTGGCATTAGACATTATAATGAAGGCTCATTTTCCAAACTGAACAACTTCTGTCTTCTAGGTGAATGGTAGTGTTCTTCAAACAAAAAGATAAATATACACTGTCTCATCAGTGACATTCAGTGTTCATCTAAACCAAGGCATAAAAGAAACCTCCCAGCATTTTCCCCTGTGTCTCTTCTACCTTGAAATTAACCACACAGATACAATTCTGCTACTGTACATCCATATAGCAGTCACAATTCTTTAGGGATTATTAAAAAAAAAAAGTCTGAATAGAAATCTACAGTATGCTGTATTTTATTTGAGATGCATTGAATGCTTAACTTTTGTCCTTTAAAATTGCATGAAAGGCAACAAATAAAAAGAAGTATCTGACCTGGTGTAGTCGTCCTCCACAAGCATGTGCTTTGGAATGGGTGAGTATCTTCCTGGGGAGATAGGGGCCAGGGATGCCTTGTACTCTAAAGTGCCATTGTTTCCAGAAGAGAGTATATGATTTTCCATTGGTGGAGAATAAGCTGATGGTAAAAAATGAACATTTCTAGTCAGCAACTTCCATGTTTCATTAGATGGCAAAAGAACATAATTTTTAAAATTTAAGTACCAAGAATATGGTTCAATGCTGTAAATGAGATTAAAACAAACAATCCTGGCTTGAGAGAGCTTGAAATATAGCAATAAAGAATGAACAGCTGGAGTTTTACTGAAAATAACAATAACAACAACAACAATAATAATAATAGTAGTAGCAGTAGTAGTAAAGCTGGCTTATTTGCAGGGATTCACTCTTTAAAGAATCTTTAGTTCCTGAAGAGGGAGTCTGAATAGGTCTCCTGTTTGAGAGACAGGAAACATGTTCTTCACTTAGGACTAGCAGAAGGAAATGCAATGAGGAAAGAATGAGATTAAAAGCACTCTTTTTGGCTCCAGTGTGCAGTAATGGGAGTAACATAGTAAGAACTCCATGCAGGATAAGAGCAGGAATTTTATGTGTGGCAAGAATCATGGATATATTCCAAGCTGGGATCTACTACAGGTGCCCACATCCCCAATATAAGTGAAATTTCAACATCAACATAGGTGGTATTTAGACCATGGTAAATCTCTATACTTAAAATAGAAAATGGATGCAAATATCTTACACATTAATGATTAATGATGAAAGTTACATTACTGTGTTGTATGTTTATATATAGGGTTTGCAGGGTTTGTTTGTGTGCTTTTTGCTATTCTGAAGTTACCTGGGACATTTATGACTGGAGAGATTCAGTAATAGTTGTATTCTATCTCTAGATAATTTAATTAGAAAAAGAAAAGAAAAATAGAAAAAGCAGTGTTACATGCTTCTGCAATGAGCTGTGATTAATTTTCTCATGAGAAGACGACAGCTAAACTTTCTAGTATTAGTTTCAATCTTTTTTTCAGATGCTGAGATACAGAATGCTTCAAAGCAAAATCTCTCTACAGGGAAAGGCCATTATGCATTCTGAAATACTCTGAACATGTAGGTGTAATGAAAGGCTCCCTGAGGATAAATGAATCTGTATGCACCAACAGCCTGGGAAGGGCTACTGCAAATCTTTTCAACCTTTACTTTCCCCCTGGAATTGTTTCTGTCTTCTCATACGCTGTTGATCTATAATCTGACATAATAAACCACACTGTTTTAGAACTGCAAAATTATTATTTTGAAAGTATGAAGCTCAAGATTGGATAGGTACATTTAGCATTTTTACTTCCTGGCCTTTGCTAAGACTCAGACCAGGCTGCTACTGAACAACATGATTGCCATCTGTTGTAACATTTGCTAACTAAATAGGCATCCTCAGCATGGCTGACCATACCACCGACACACGTTACAAAACCTTCCCTTCTGTTTTCATGGAGCAGACTGAATAAGGAGGATTTGGGATATTTAGCTTTTCCCTCAACTTTATCAATCCACCAATAGCAACACTGCAAAAGTGTAGAAAAATTTAAATCCTTAGCATTTACTACCCTCAGTAAATTTCCCCACCTTTAGCTTGCCTTAAGTGCCCAAAGAATTACTAGCAGGAAATCAAGATGGGTATGGATCAACTGCTGAAGCTCTTGTCAAAATTATATTTCCATCCAGTTGCTAGATGGTGCAGCTGGTCCCTGATGGTAGCTGAACCCAAGGCAGACAGTTTTTAATAACAACTAATGAAGAAAGGGAGTTTTCAGTAATGAACTGTTTAGACTAACGGGCACCAGTGGTATAAAAAGTGCAGATGAAACATTAAGCTTTCTGTGAATGTCAAGGGAATGGAAATGCCTGGGTATGGACACCAGGAGGAGTGGCAGGAGTAGCATAGCAATGGCATGTATTGATAAAGCTAGATTCATCAATAAGTCATCAATACTCAATATAATTCTGTGCAACTTGCCAGGAAAGCCTGTACCCAAATGAAAACAAATATTCAAGCCATTAAGAGATGATGGTGGGAGATAAAGGCTAGGTTGGAGCTAGGACACTCAGGGAGCCAGCAGAGATCAGAGTAAATCCTAAAGACATGCATAGTAGGGACAGATGTCAGAGACAGAAGATCCTTATTGTTGTCATCTCCTTAAGAGTCCAAAAAGCCCTCCAGCAAGGAGGTTGTCAACATAAAATCTCTCTCTATATATATAAGGACTCCACAGCCAGCCACCAACCCTTGTACGTGGTCACCTCAGGGAATCCTGGGGATGCACATCTTTGTACCTGAGTGCTGGACATGAGCCTAGATTCTTTTGAGTGCATGGCTATGACAGCCTAATTGAAATCAGCTGGCTTTTAAATGAGGACACCATCCCTTCCTATAAGATACTTCACTGAGTTTTACCATATCATTTAAACAAATTTTCCTACAACAGAATGTGCATTGAATGCAAGGACAAATAAGGCCTTGATCCTCTGGAAAAAAAATAAAATTCTGATGAACATATATAAAGTTAATGGATAGACTGAGAATAAAGCAAAGTGGACCAATGATTTATGAATTTTTCACTATGGGAGTAATAAAGCACTGCAACACAGAAGCCATGGATATGCCACCCCTAGAAGTGCTTAAGGCCAGGCTGGATGTGGCTCTGAGCAACCTGGTCTAGTAGAAGGTGTCCCTGCCCATGGCAGGAGGACTTTAACTAGATGGTCTTTAAGGCTCCTTTCAACCCAAACCCATCTGTGACTTCACGAATTGGATAACCACAGAAAACAGTAAAGTTTTGTAAGTAGAGCAGTGACTTTTACATTCCACTAAAATATTTTATTCAAATATGAGATGTATTTGCCTCAGGCTTCTACTAAGTTTGTACAAGATGGTTTGCTGCTTGTTCCAATTTTTTCAGTGGACAGAGGACTCCAGGCTACAAATCTAATCATATTACAAAATGCATTTGCATGCTGTAATCTTCACAAGAGTTACAGTTCAGTCTGATCACTTGGACAATGGCTAATTGGAACCAGCACAGCCATATATCTTCTACATTGCTACTTTTGCTGCAAAAATACTTTAGCAGAGTTAAATTATTTGCAATATTTCTTGAGCACAGCATTCTTAGGTGGCAATAAACATTTCATTTTTGTAGCCTTCCAAGCTGTTTCATAAACTTTAATGGGGTACTTTGAACAAGCTATGAAAAAGTACAGTCATCTGAAAAACGGAAATATCTCTTGTAAAATAAGTTGCAGAAGTCACTTACAGTGAGTAATATCTGGTGGGCCATATGGATCTGTCATGTAAATGGTGGTGGGCTTTCCAACTTTCAGATACACTACATCTGATGTGTTCTTCAGTATTGCTACTGCCTCTTCATGGGTAACTTCTTCTAAACTATAATTATTTACCTTAGAGGAGAAATCAGAAAGGTGAGTTGAAATGCAGAAATAGACATAAAAATGATACATCCTTGCAGTTTTCAAAATGTTTGGAACATTGCTGTAAACGAAGAGCACTAAAGATTATAGAAGAAATTCTGCTGCAGGGTAGGAAATACAGTTTTCTTAGCACATGCATGTTCCAAGACTGATGTAGGAATATTGATACACAGAATCAAAATGGGTCAAGAAAGCACTTGGTTTTGACAATAAAAAAAGTTCTTTGTGATGTTCTGCTACTGGTATAATCACCAATACAAAATGGTATTTAATAATAAATTAATAGCACTACATCAGTTACAGAAACTGTCTACATTATTTGACCTAACAAAATAAACTTACGGATGAATCTTAGCCTCCACAGCTGGGACCTCAGAAATACCCAACACACCCAAATCTTTCCATCACTGATACGACACTGACCATTGAAATAAGGAGAGGTAAAAAATGGTATATAGAATACCTATGAGGTGCAGGAATTGAAAAAGGGCAGTTGAGAATGGGGAAAATATATTTTTCATTGTGAAAGTTTGTCAGTTTTCTGGAAACACAGGAAAAAAACATTGAAAAAGTAAGTAGTACTAGTTCTATGCTTTTCTTAGAAGAGAAAAACACTTAAGCAAGGATAGAAGACTACAGATAAAGTAAGAAAGGAATGGTGGCAGAAAACTTTGCCTATTTATGCTTTACTCCCACAGAAAGAAAATCAAAAGAAAAGCATCAGAAGTGGTTTATTGTAGAGGCATATAAAATTCAGTCGCATATAAATGCACCATATTAACAGATTGTCAACAATAGGTTGTCCTCCTACAAACAGAACCGTGTATGTTCCCTGCCACAAAATATATAAACCTCCTGAATGGAGAAATTATAGGATAGGGGGGAAAAAAAGTAAAGGGTGTAGATCCAGGTTCCAGGCATGTGGCATAAGAGAAATGACAGAATCACAGAACACCTTGAGTTGGAAGGGACCCACAGGGATCATTGAGTCCAGCTCCCTCTCCTCACAGTGCTGCCTGAAACTGAACCATGTGACTAAAAGCATTGTCCAGCCTGCCCTTGAATTCTGGCAGGCTTGGTGCTGTGACCACTTCCCTGGGGAGCCCGTTCCACTGACCTACATTTCACATGGAATGCTGTATATGAAACATTTTACTGTCATTTAAATTGCCATCCTCCAACTTCCACAGTTACTGCAAGGATTCATTTTAAAGATTATGCAAGATGAAAGCAGAATTCCCTCCTCCTATAGTATAATATAACAGCAAATTGCAGAAAAAAAAAAAAATTCTTTCCAGGGAATTAGTATTAGTAAATTATCAGAAACCTGAATGTGACAATAAGCAATGGTCAAAGGGTGTGGCAACTGGAAAGAAATTCAGCTATTGTGAATCTGTGAAGGACTCTTCAAATGCAAATGATTTCATCACCACCAAGAAAAAATAATTTCTATTGGACAGTATCGCTGAATGTAAGGATTCTGTCTAAACTTTTTTCACTCTATAATTCTCAAGCTTGGTTTTAAGGGTAATTAAAAGAGACAATGGCAGGTATATTATGATAATTTGACATGAAGGGCAGTGACAGAGCCTAACACTCAGAAGGGAGCTGCTGACAGGGTATGCTGTATTTTGAAAGGTCTTCTATTTAAATAAAAATCTTATGCCTAACTTCTATACATTTCTATATCTTCCTTTGTTATGAAGAACAATAACTTACATATACCTTTAATAAAAAAATGTCTTAAATTAATAAGCTGGCAGGAAGAAGTGACTGAAATTATGCCTTTCTTGTTTATGTATTTCAAAACTGCCAGACACTTCAGATTCACACATTTTAGAAAGATGACCACATGGTTATCCTTTACCTCTTCTCCTTCTCACACTGTCTGTACATTGTATTTCTTGTGTTTCATCCTAACTTTTTTCAAGTAGAGGAAATCTCACATAACCTCACCCACTATACAGCTGCTGTAAAAAAATGTTCTCAGTCAAAAAAAGACACAAAATGAAATATCTTAGAACTGTCTGGATTTTGACTTTTTGGTCTTTTTAGATGTGAATAAAAAAAATTATGACACAAATTGATTTGATGCAACTTCTTTTCCAAAGGTGTTGCATTTTCTTGGGGTTTGTTTCTGTAAATTTAGCTGATAAAAATTCATCACTAGATATTTGGATGTCACAGTTGTGCAGTAAATAAGGCAAAAGGCCATCTTAGAAACACAGAATAAATTATTACACATAGAAAACATATTTGATACGGCAGGTCCTGTGTCTTCTCTCTGACAATAACATTATGGGACAGGTGTTTTACCAACACTGTACAAATTACTGAAATCTAGAAGTTAGGACTTAAGGAGTTCAAGCAATTCTAAACTAAGATTTAATGTCTATGCAGTTCAGCATTATGTTTATTTTCATAGACATAAAGATCCTAGAGTTCATGGCAAAGTTTATGTAAAATCATTTTGTCCTGGACAGCTCAGTTCTCAGTAAACAAAGAAATGAAGACTCAATCTAGATCAAAAGAAAACAAACAAACAAACAAACTTGTTGATTCATTCACAAAAATCAAGATCCTCAGTGGTGCCATAAGTGGGAGTTCTTTGAGAAGGAGATGAGATCAACTTCCTTAGTTATTTGCCAACATCAGCTTAGACTTGACCTTCCAAACTTGCTTCAGAAGGCAGTTCTTGCTTTGGGTCTACAATTCCTATTAATAATCCTATGTGCATCTATCAATATATTTCCTACTTTTTGACCATAAATCAATGATCACAAATAAAGACATCTGTATGTGCTCTGCTATAGAAAAAACTTGAATACTTAGAAGAATTCTATTGTTCAGACCCCTAGATATTATGGCAAGATGGCTGTAGTATGTAATTTTTTTCATAGGGGAATCTCTGGACATCTTTCCTTAAAACTTTGTACAGAGATGATAATAATAGGAAATGATGTTGTAGTTGACTTTTATGTTGAGATTTATGCCAAGAGAGACTATTTCTGAAGCTATTTCTTCCATAGAAGATGCCTATCTTGACAGAATTGTAAGTACTAAATCTGGCTTTTTTGGTGATTTATAGCAAAGCTTTGCTTTCTCCTGTAGAGATAACCTTATATATTTCTGCATACAGCTTGCAAAAAAAGGGTTGAGTTAGGGTAAAGAAGATAAGAGTAGGAGATGCACACAAAGTAAGAAATCAAAGTGTATACAGCATGCAATCTTCTGAGAGGCTGAATTTTTGTGCAGAACGGCTGACTTAATTCTGAGTGGGTAGAATGGGTACTGCATGCCAACTTTCTGGATCTAAGAAGCCAATTTAAGTAGCATTTAATTAAGGGAAAAAAAAACCCTTAAGGCAAATGTTAAAAAAGATATTTATCTGAGTGGTCAGTTTAGTCACAAAGTTGTATGTTTGAGACAAAAAATGCTGTGACAGGAGCCAAAGGAGAGGAGTCAGAAAGAAAAAAAGCATGGAATAAATGGAGCTTTTCTAATGGGAAAAGTTACATGCAGTGAAAATTTAAAAATGCAAATAGCATCTGAAGAAAAAAAAATAGGAAAGCTTTTTCTTTAAATAGAAAGTATGTTATATAAGACATACTGGTAACATGAGACATGAATAAGGAAAAGAAATAAAATAGCAGTAGAGAAGGAAATTAAAGATAAAAGTCCAATCAAAGAAGCTATTTGAGTGATGGGGGAAATCAATAAGAAATTATGTCAAAGGGATATAAAAAGACTGGGGTGTTTTTTTTCCCCCTAAATAGCATAATCAGGGAAATGAAGTATAAACCTAAGCAAGAATGTTTTATTTGGAAGTTTTCCTAGATACTGGAAAATCAAAAGCCCCAAAAAGCAACTAGAAAAGCTTAGAATCCCCAAAATGACTTTACAAGTGCTCTAAAGAATAATTTCATTCAGAACAATATAAGCTGATATGGGAGTAAGAGCTCCAGAGGAACAAGTCTGTCTTATTTAATTTTCTTTTTTTAAAGGGGATTTGTTCATTTCCTCTACTGATTTAGGCTAAGAAAGATTCGATTCACTGAGTGAGTGAGACAAAGGGGTGATCTTTACCTTACCAGTAGTAATGTTTGCTTTTCTGTAATATTCAGCTTTTCATTCAGACAGTGGATTTTCCTGGGTGAACATCTACCAGTAAACACCTGCAACCTGCCAGCTGTAAATCTAGGATGCTGATGGCCTTTTTCAATACTCACTCACCTAAAAGGCTGCAAAAAGTGGGATGCTTTCCAGTGCTGAAGAGTAATGATTTGTACAAAGGATATAAATCCGTTTGCACTAACTAAATACTTACAATCCCATGGACTTGTGAGTTAGTTGCACAAGTGCAGGGCTGTTTTATAAAAGATGATCCCACAAAGACAGCCAAAATCACTTTAAAAAAAACCTCTGATCAGAACCAAATGCTAATCTGGATGCATCTTGAATTACATGCTCTGATTTTATGCACTTTAATAAAAATGTGATCCTGCATTAATACACAGGCTGAAAGAAACAGATATTGGTAGGGGACCCTATAAGGAACACATCAACAATTGCACAGTCACAACCCCAATGCAGTCCTATGAAATTACCAGAAATAACTTTTTCCAGAAAGGAGGCATACATTTCTGAAAAGGAAAGTGACTCCTGTTTCTTCCTCCTGTTTTCATCATGAAAACAGAATCAAATTAGGTCTCTTGTTACATTTAATCACTGATCTCTGTGACTACATGGGCCAAATATGCAATGGTATTTTGGCATATGGGATGTATTTTAGAAAAGCTAATAGTTATAAAAGATTAATAATAACTTACATTTTCCTTTAAACCCTCATGGTTTTAGTATTTTCCCTGAAAAATGCCTTGCTTCTAGCTATTAGTGTTGTTATGTACTAGTAAAATCTAGCACCAGTTTTATACTGATTTCTCATTTATTCACACTGTAGATAACAAACTTGTCCAAAGTAAGATGATGGTATGAGATAAAAAAAAGTAATTATTATCTGGGCTGTAATAACTGAAACCACTTTTCAATTTTTCTTGATCATCATTAGTAGTGACCTTGAAGAGGTGAGACATGCATCATGTTTGGAGGTGACCCTTCATTTCACTGCGAGATACTTGAAGGCAGGGCTGCCACAGACTGGAAGAAGGACCTGAAGAAGACTTTATAATGATCAGCAGGAAGAAACAGTAAATCCTGCTCCAGGCACAGGCTCACTCTCATCAATAGCACAGGCTGGGCACTGACAGCCTGGCAGCATCTCTATGGAAAAGTCCTTGGGGCTCCTGATGGATGGCAAGCTGGGCATGAGCCAGCTGTGCGTCCCAGCAGCAAGAAGGTCAACAGCATCCTGGACTGGATGAGCAGAGCAGAGGCTGGAGAATGAGCAAAGGATTATTCCCCAGCAGTTCACACTCAATAGACTGAACCTGGACAATCTGTCCAGTTGTAGTTCCTGCACTACAGGAAAGGTAACAAAAGAAGGCAAGAGCTATGCTACTGAGATGGCTGGAGATGCAGCACTGATCTGCTGAGGAGAAAATGAGGGATCTTGGCACTTTCAGCCTGGAGAAGGGGTTCCTCTGAAGACAACTATTAACAGACCCGCAGTGCTTATAGGAAGATCATCAAGGCAACGCTATGCTTTTTAGAGTTACATGTGGTAACAGGATGAGTGACACCAGGCAGATGTTGAAACAAGAGAGGGCTAAACAGGTTATCAGGAGAAATATTTTTCTCAGGAGTACAGCTGAACTGTGGAAAAAATTTTGAGATGCAACTGGATAAATCCCTGAGCAACCTTGTCTGGCCCTATAACTGACCCTGAATGACCATGGTGGTCTGTGATGCTCTGTACGTGCTTTACTTCTGCTCCTTTCCACTGCAGACAGAAGCTGAGGCACCACTGCAGTGGGATTCTCACCACTGGCCTTACCACCAGCAGAAGGAGGCATTACCACTAGAACACAGTGAGGGAGTATTTTTCTCCTAGCTGTAAGTCTTCAGAGAAGAGCTCTGGTCTTTTCCTTTCATACATACCTAGAAAAAAACATTCAGTTTTTGGCTTAAACACTCATGCTTTCACCAGTACTTTTCCAAACAGGTACCTCGGGATTACTGTACAATGGAGCATTGTCCTGTGCAAATGCTCAGGTCACTAAGTCTTAAGTGCAAACTTAGTGCCACAAAAACATGACTGCAGAACATGCCCTTGTACAGATTTCACAATAATCACAATGTATTATTTACATAATGCATCTTCAGAAATCCTTAACACACTATATGCAATCTGCATTTAATAACAGTAGGGTCATCAAGCTGCAAAATGCTCAGGTGGCCCCTTCCTGTCTTAAATTTCAATACTAGTTTTTGTCTTGCTTCTACACTTTCATCACCTCTTAAATTTATATTCATTTGATTTGCACTTCAGGATCTGAAAGCATTTCACACATAATTATCAGAATACAGATACAAAAATTAAAAAAGCTCCCCAGCAGCTGCTGAGAATTCCAGAAGGATGACAAATTCTTTTAAATTCTGTGGAGAATGATGGAAAAAACCAAAGATCAAGAAAGGATGCATTACTGAGAAGGAAAAAAACAAAAAAGAGGAACTGTTCAAACATATAACCAAGAAATCAATGAAGCAGAGACAGGACCATATAGATGACAAGGGTAATACTCTGTTGAAACACTGCCAAAAGAAAGTAATTAATTTTTTCACTCACTTCATAAAGGAACATGAAGTTAATGCCATGAACTGACAGATAATTTACAAATTAGGATAGAAAAATACTGAAGGTACAGAAGTTACAAACAAATCAGGTTGTCTAGGTGGAGAGAATCAAGAAACATGGCTCCAATCTGCATGAATTTTAGAAACATTTTGATCTAGTAAACGTATCTCCAAATACGTAATGATTACGGTATACAAAGAGCAAACTGACTAGTATTTTCTTATGCAACTGTGAAAAGTGTGGTCTGGAAGTACATAACTAGAGGAGAGCAATACTTGGAATGATTTTTTCCACTCATTTCCCATACAGTGATAAAAGGAGACAACACTTAGTAAAGAAACAGTCCAGACTGAAAGGAAAGAAGAACAAAGACATCAAACATAATACAAATGACCTCTGGTCATTTTCAGAAGTATAAAATTGTTACAATGAAGAAACATCTATATCTGACTGCAGTGAATCACAGGTTGAAGGCTGAGATGCTTAATAGACTACTCCCATAAAAATCTGAAAAGAATGAATTTATGCACAGTGGTAAAGAAAATATTTCTATTTAAACTTGTTCTAATGAAATTACACTGGAGAGGGTGAATGTGGGGGGTTTGCATCTATTTGATTTCCTTTTATATAAGACATTTACTACCTCATGTGAATTGGAAAAAATTAAGAGTAAAGCAACAAAAATTGCAGATAACACAAAAACTGCAAGGAATTCTCATCAGGGCAAAAAGCAACAAAAGTAGCTGAACAGAAGCAGATTTGCAACAAGCTGCAAAATAACTGAAGTGTAGATTTGGCAAATAAAAATATACATTTCTGCACCAAAATAAGCTGAAACTTCATCATCCAACAGTGACTTGAATTTCACTATGCTGAGATTATGCAAAGACAAAATGCAAAAGGAATTTCGAGTCCTAATTTCATTTTGCTCTGATTTTGCTAACACCAGTTGATCCTTAAGCTGTTTTATCTACCCATTTGGGTTAATTAAAAAAGACAAAGAGTCACCAACCCAGCAAACAAGTGCTTTTCCAATTCTGTTTAGTACTCTGTCATAAAATTAATAGCCATCTTCATATGTGACTGGAACAGAGTGTCCCTAGCCAAACAAAGAAAAACTCAATTAGGCCCAGCTCACGGGCAGCAAGAAAGGTTGAGGCAATTTTTTACTGCTTAAATATCACATCATAAAATAGGGCTAATGCAGCACAAGGTTTTTTTTTTTCATTGCACTTATTAAAAAAAAAATCTCTACCTGCTGAAATCTCTCCAAATGCATTGACATGAATACAACTTGACATAGATTAACTTGTGCTCATTCACCAGGGTCAGGATTTCCCCCTCAATGTTGAATTAAACAAACTCTGTGAGTGGGAAAGCATTATTGATAAGAAACAATGAACCAGCACGGCACAGAGCAGGAAGAATTTCCTGAATTGAGTTCCATCAGAAGAATACACTTCCTCAAGGGAAAATCTGGAAACCGTTTGGGGTTTTTTAAAACATCTATATGGAACATCTAGATAAAGCCTTCCTACAGGTACTGAAATGTAAGTAGTAGTCCACTGAGAGTTGCTACATGGGAGTCATTTACTGGCATGTTTTGACAGTTTTCAATTTGTGTACAACAAACAGTAGAATCAGCACTACCTTAACAAACACTTTGTCTAAAATCTTTTCAGTTTTATGGTTTATTTTCACTTGCTGCTTACATGCATAAGACATTTATTCTCTTCTCTGTAAAAGGTTTGTCAAAGTAATATAATGCACTGCCTTCATAAAATGTCAGTTTTCCAGAGAATTTTTTTTTTTGCTCCAATACCAGAAAAATATTTTAAAAATGGGCAAAATTAAGATGATGGAAATACAATTATTATAGCAGCTGTTTTGGTTACCTCCAGAAAGATGTATGGTGAATGAAAGTCCTTCTATGAAACATTTTTCAGCTAAATAAATGGGATTTAAATTTGTCATACTTACCATAAGAAGTCTATCTCCAACCTGCAATCTCCCATCTTTTTGTGCAGCTCCCCCGTCAATAATCTTAGTGACATAAATGCTGTTGTCCCCAGGGATGTGTTGGTTTCCCACCCCTCCTGCAATACTGAATCCTAGACCTGGAAAAGATATTGCAAACAAAACATTAGCAATACAACACATAACACTAAAGAGAAGTGGAAAAGTAGCATATACAATGTAAATTTTGATTTTTTTTTTCAGAAATAAAAATAACATACTCTTTCACTTTCCCTGAAAGGTCAGGGAAAAACTAAAGCAAGGAAATTCTTTGCCATTTACAATTACAGAAAGGTAGAGACAAAAATAATTGAACCAGTAACAATTCTATACACCCTCTTCACTGGGGTCCAGTGCAGCCTACATCAAGAAGTTATGGCTCAGCTCTCCATGATCAGCATAACAACACTGAAACCTGGAGTTTTTTTGTTAAATATTGCTAGAAAATACATCACCATCTATCAGAACAAAATGAAAGGTGTTCTGATTGTCCACATAATTTGAAAAATACTTGGAGAGGTCTAGCACAGGTTTTGCAAGTTCATGTAGTACCACAGTGAAGGGTCAGTGAAAATAAAAGTGAAAAGGTGTAGATGTTTGATTTAAAGTGTGGGTTTTATTCTTAGGACACAAATCTGTGGCTATGGACGCATAAAGAAAGCAACAGTCCATTGTAGATATATAACTCCTGTGCAGTGGTCTGTGAAATTCCTAGATAAACACTCAAAGACCCAAACTTTGTAACAATGTCAATAATACATGCCGATATGATTAAAGGAAGGCAAAATAAATACATGTCGGAGGAAGAAAAAAATACCCTTTTCCCCTTTTCCTATATTTCTTACCCTCTGACACATTGCACATAGAAGCAAATAATTGCTTTAATTTTTAGGAACATTTTTATATCTCAATCAAAGAAAAGACAGAAATTACTGTGCTTGATTTCCATAAAAATTAACTTCATACAGCTAATTTTTCAGAGATTATGTAGCTAATGGGAACTCCCATCTGAACAGAGAAGCTGTTTCTGACAATACCCTGCTTAGATTATTGCTCCAACTAGGGATTTCTCTTATAGCTGTACAGAAAAATAGTTATATCTATTTAGAGAGTAATCACTGGTTTTATCTATGAAATCTATGCTGTTCACTCATTCCTAAAAGAAACATGTTGATAACTACTGTAGCCTGAACAGTAAAATGCAGTAGTAAAAAGTGAGTTGCCTGAAATCTGGCATTTCATCACAAACTCAAAAGGGACACTGCTTGGGCAATAAAAATTAAGGGACAGTGAATATTTAATGCACACAACATTTTTAGCAGCTGTATGAGTACAGAGATAAGGGAAGGTTTTGAGTGAATTAAATATTTAATTTTTTTTCCCCCATTATTTTAATTCGATCATTATTGTAGCTTCAAAAAGATGTGAGGTCAGGTACCATAATGGACTACTTAATGGAATGTGCCACACCAGTAAATTACAAAAAGAAACCTTTGAATTTATATCTCCATTGAAACAGTACTTAATTAATTGACTATTAACAATACACATGAAGTTAATTCAGAAGTATAGGGTAATTAAAAGAAAGCTTTATTGAATTTCCAGCTAAAGCTGGCAATCACTCTTATTTATGTGCTACTGTCAGTACACGGATAAAAGGATCATGATTTTTTCAGCAGGAAAGGATTTTTCCTGGGATTGCTATCAAAGAAGAGAAAATATATTCTAATAAAACATTAAGAAAGTAAATTTTCTTTAAAACACTAGTTACAGACAAGGAGCAATGATTGAATAATATTTTGTGGTGACATAATTATAATCAATTTGATCTAAACCCCATCTGTATAGGCTTCTACCAGTAAAGATCTGAGAATATTCCAGAACGCTGGTGGGAGCAAATGAGTGGGCTAGATCTCAGCCAGAGAGCTTTCCTCAGCCCTGCTGCTCACCTAGGGCATGACCGTGGGAAGAACAGGTTGTGGTGCACTCCCATCACCTCCTGTCCCCTTTATTGGCACTGTACAGGTGTAAAGGGCAGGGCCATTTCTGCACACACTGCTGGTCTGCACTTTGCACAAAGTGGGTCCTAATTCAGCCTGGTCCTGCTGCAACACAAGCAAGTAGTAGCCAAGACAATCACCTGCATTTCCTGCAGCGCTGAGTGGCGGGCTTGCCTTGCTGCCTGCATGGTTGCAGCACAATGTACGCATGAAACCGTCAAACAAAAGAGCACCAACACAAACTGCTTACATTGCAAAAGCGAAGCTTAAAATAATGGAAGGAGTAACTTTTTCTACTACAGTTTACATAAACTTTAGATGTGATACAATGCAGGGGCTGCATTGCATTTGTAAGCAAGGTCTGACTTTGGGCATCCAAATAACCAGCAGTGATTATACAAAGGTTTAGAAGAGCAGAACAAGGGTAATACTGAGGGGAGCAAAAGGAGAGTAGGTAGGAAAGAAAACTGAGGAAGAGAAAAATTTTCCATGTCAATCAATAATGATTTAATTTCACTGCTTAATCACACTTGCCTTCTTTAAAAGATTTCTTCTTGGAAGGAACAGGGAATGGAACAATGCCCCATTTAATTTTATTTAAATTACTTCAGCTAATTGCTAGGGCACATGGAAACTACACTACACAAAAACTTTTGGGTGGGATTCATGTGGCCAAATGACATCAGACAACTGTGGTTATCATTTATACCACCTGTATGATAAATGAAAATTCATTAAGAGCTTTTAAAATATGATTCATCTCATCTCAACAAGACATCTGAAAGAGATGAGGTGAATCATACTTTTGGGTTTCTGAAAGGCTGGGGTCTGGATGTGGGAAGAAGTGAGTGGGAAGATCAGTGCTATGAAAGTTCACAATCTGAGTTCATTTTGACTGAAGGTTTCTGTTTAAACACTTTGGAAAGATTTGCTCAACCCTGGTGTGCATCTCTGGTCACTCACTACATCAAGTTAGCTTTACATCAAATTCTTACTCTGTTTTAAAAGCAGAGAATCAACCTGTTCCAAACGATGGAACAAGATATGTTTTCTAAATGGTATTTTTCATAACGCAGCATATTTGATTCCAGAACCTTTTCCTTGTTGATTCCTTTGGTTATGAAAACATTTTCATCAGAACACAGATCAAGAGTTGATCACTTCCTCTTTGGCTGACATACAATCTGCTTCACAGAAACAGCTGATCTTGGAGAGAGTGCACAAATTTCTCACAACAGAAATTTGATGGAGGATAAATTCAGAATGGAGTCGAGGAAGAAATGTTATATGATGATGGTGGTGAGACACTGGCACAGGCTGCCCTGAAAAGTTGTGGATGCCCCATCCCTGGAAATGTTCAAAGCCAGGTTGAATGGGTCCTTGAGCAACCTGAACTAATGCTAATAAGTAACAGCTTTGGAACTTAAAGACCCCTTCCAACTCAAACCATTCCATGTTTCTGTGATTCAGTGAAGAAGAGACTACTTCAAGAGGGGAAAAAGTGAGAACTGGATTTAACACTGGTGCATATCCAAGTTAAACTCAGCTTTGTTCAAAATCACTGAAAAGGCCCTTCTAAGATTGACTCAATGAGTAAACTAGGAAAGTTGAGTCAAACCTAATTTCCTTTAATTTCCACTGGATTTGTAAAATTTGTTTGTAAAATTCACTTGCCTTTGGTTTCCACAAATGCTGATAACTGATTCTGTGAATAATAATGTGCAATAATCCCATGAAAAAAGCAGACGATTCTGGTATCAGAAAAGGAAAAGGGACAGGGACAAAAGCTATTCCACCAAAACTGGAAACTGCAGAAAAAATGCTTCTATTAATAAGTCGAAGATATTTAGTAGTATCTTTCCCCGGGATTATTAGCAAGAACATGTTAAAATATTGGGCTATTTACACCTATTTTGCATTATTTGCCATACCAGATACATGTTTTAAATATATCACTAAATTAGTAAAACAATATGTTCTAACTATTTTTCTAGTACAAGTAGGCTTGGAGGCTCCCCATATAATTAGTCCAGCAAAGCTGGACTAATAAACATAAATAATAATAATTAAAAGTAATAAAACCTCTGTTAAAGACACAGTGGATTAATTACACTGCAGGCATACCACTTTGCAGTAACCAGAGAGGGAGCCTAAAAGATCAACTGCAGCTATGCAAAGTCAGCTTTCTAAAGAGAAGTGAAGTTAAAGAAAGTCAGAATGCCAGAAATGGATGTTGCATATTGCTACTAAACCATACAGAGAACCAAGCTTATTTTAAATCAGCAAACAGATTGAGGATTTTGAAACAAAATCCAACATGACTTTCACAGCTCCCCATAAGGGGAACCCAAAGAAAGCACCATTTAAGTCATAACCTTAAATATAGTTTAAAAGTGCTTGATTTTCAGGTAGTTAACCAAAACAGTGTGCTTTAGAGAAATCAAACAGGTAATTCCTAATTCCTGGCTATACCACAGTACACCTTGCCTCATAACTGATCTGCGAGCATAGGCTTAGTGAAACCACAACAGGTACAGGACTTTCAACAGAAATATTATCATATTAACAAACAAAATGAATGAGAATAGGAATGTAAATACTAGAAGAAAGACCAAAGGTTAGAGAAATCACATGCACTGACAATACAGAGTATTCCAAGCAATAAAAATCAAAACGAGTCATTTCTGTCAAGCCTGGACAGAATGTCTGGACTCTGTAAGACCTTTGAACAGGTGTCTTGCCAGCAGAAGACCCTCTACCATGACAGTGGGATGTTGGCCGCAAGATTGCAGCATGTGACATCTGCCATTCTCTTGCCTGCAAGCCTAACAGGGAAGCAGCTCATATCAATAAAAATGTGTGTTTACTAAATGAAAAAAATCAGCACATGAGCAGCCACCTTGTGGCTTAGACACTGAAGAAAGGAGCGTTCAGTATAAAGCACCACCCATAACAACAGTAGACTCCTAGACGGTATAAATAATTTACCCAAAAATCTTCCCGGTTGCCAATCAAGAAAATGTCGAGATGTGGTAAGGGTTTGATGTCCCATGTCCTTTGTGTCACACACAGGTGATCCAGACCACCCAGCACATGCACCC